GGTTGGGTTTCCTCAATTTGTAATGGTACAGTAACTAGTATTTTCCATTTTTTTGGTTAATTGGTTAGGATTTCTTATTTTGTTAAGGAGTACCTGTGTTTATTAATTCAACGCGATAGAGAACTGTAATGGTTTCCTCAATTTGTAACGGTACAGTAACTAGTATTTTCCATTTTTTGGTTAAGTGGTTAGGATTTCTTATTTTGTTAAGGAGTACTTGTGTTTATTAATTCAACGCGATAGAGAACTGTGTAAGAAGTTGAGTTCACCACATTATTCAGTCGCTGACAAATCCAGATTCTTGAAAGTGGCTGGGAAGTACTCTGGTGTTCGCAATGCAGGTGGTGCGCTTATTACGTTCCTCATGTGCACTGCAGATACTCGATGTGTTATTATAATTTAGGTCAGATTATATTTTCTGGGATTTTCCTTGTCAGAAGTTAGTTATCTACCTTCTTGGCAGAAATAATATAGTTAAATATTGTTGAGAAATATATAGCATCTTACAAGGCGAAGCCAGCAGCACTTTTTGATAGTACATGGCTGTTTGCTAGCAAGAATTTACTGTCAAATGGCCCCCAGGGCTTTGGTTCGATGGTAAAGGTAGCATAACGCTGGATGTGTGGTAAGCACATGCCATGAGTTCGAATCCTGCTGTGAACCAAGTTTGGTATTTAAGCGTAGAAGGGTAGAGGTCAGGTCCATTATCCACTAAGTTCCGGAGCTGTAAACAGCATATTTTTCGGTTATAGAGAAAAAAGGAATCTACTATTGAATGCTGAATTAACTAAGAATGTGTATATAACTGGAAGCCATTGCTGTTTCTTATAATAAAAGAGTGTCTTTGAGAAAAAATGTTTCATGTTTTCTCAAACATTATAATGAGACATAATTTACGATCCTTACATAGAGTAGTTGTAAAATTAGCGTTCTCCACACTTCTTGTAGGGAGGAATTGGAGAAAATGTTCCATGGCATGCCTGCCGTGTTCACAGGTATGTTACTAGGAGAGGAGCTTTCCCAAGCATATGCCAGCGGAGATGTTTTTCTTATGCCTTCAGAGTCAGAGACACTGGGGCTCGTCGTTTTGGAGGCCATGTCATCAGGGCTTCCTGTAGTAGCTGCCCGTGCCGGTGGAGTTCCAGATATCATCCCTGACGATCAGCAGGGCAAGATTGGGTATCTGTTTAATCCTGGGGACCTTGACGACTGCATGAGCAAACTAGTGCCTCTTTTGCGCGACGCTGAATTGAGAGAAACTATGGGGAAAACTGCACGCATAGAGATGGAGAAATATGACTGGAAAGCTGCAACAAGAACGATTCGTAACGAACAGTACAGTGCAGCCATTTGGTTCTGGAAGAAGCAGAGAACAGTATTCCTGAGACCATTTCAATGGATGTTTAGGTGTATATTCGCAGCTCCAGAAGTCTACTATAGGTGATCGATCCATTTCTCGTATTTTATTTGTCTAAAAGGATAGAGTTTTTCAATGGTTTGCAAGTTGTATCCTTCATAGCTTGTGTTTGTAGAATATAGACCTGAAAATGTGTTATGAAATTTGCTGTCATTGTTTGTACAATGTAGACCTCAAAGACCGGTCTGTTGTGCTGTTATGTATTAAATTGGACCTATGTACATGTAAGTTTTAGTAGTTTCATAAAGATTTGAATTTAGTGAACTGCATATTCTACTGTAGAAATCAATCAAACTCTATGAAACTACAGGTTATCAATAGAAGTGAGCAAGATGTAGAGTTGAATTTAATATGTTCGTCGAATTTCATATGATTTGAAAGTTTTGTGGCACTTATATACCGGTACTAATGAAATGTCTATTAGTACTATTTTGTTCACCTTGATGTTTAAAAAGGTATGATATTTTGTAGAGAAAAGGTAAAATATACCCCTCTACTTTCATATATTGTCTATATTTAAATTCCGTTATATTATCAGGCTAAATTTACTCCTACCGTTATAGTATCGGGCCAAATTTACCCCTACAATCAGTAAAATTTTAAAAATACCCCTTGATCTGTTAAGTAATTCAAAATCTTCCAAATTCCTTTTATTTAAATCACTTGATGTTCTTTTTGGTCCACTATTTTAAAAATAATTGGCATTTACCTGCTTTTTGAATTAGAGAAAAAAATAAATAAATATACAACCGAATAAACAAAGTATAGTAAATTGAAAATTTTAAATTAGGTAGTTTTTTTAAATTCTAAAAGTATTTACGACATCCCAATTTTAATGAATTCATTGCACTAAATGTATGGAGACTTTGCAAGTATTAGTGATTGAAGTTGAAGTTCTTCGGAGGCTTTACATTTTCTAATTCAATTTTGCTTTAATTAAATGTCTACACATTGTGCACTCTTAAGTTAGTCGATCGAACTCTATACTAACCAGGCAATGACAAAATATATTTGAATATATATGTACATACATGATGATTAGTTGCATATAATACACAATAAATAAACCCACTAAATTCTACAGTGTGTATATGATTGAAAAATAAATAAAATTATAAACCAATTTTATATATTACAAGAAGAGAAATGGGTGCATTGGTAACTAAAAACAATTATGAATAATTTGTATAGTCTAGTAATTTTAGCATTCACATCAATAGTAATTTTTTAAAATAATGGAGCAAGAAGAACAACAAGTGATTTAAATAAAAAAAATTTGGGAGATTTTGGATTACTTAACAGATCAAGGGGTATTTTTAAAAGTTTGCGCTGATTGTAGGGGTAAATTTGGCCCGATAGTATAACGGAAGTTAAATATAAATAATATATGAAAGTAAAGAGGTATATTTGACCTTTTCCCTATTTTGTATGACAATTGATGGATAGTGTAATCTTTATCCAAATTATCTTATCCAGAATAAGAGGCCATTGTAAGAGGAGTAATTCTATCAAAAAGGACAAATGCTGAAAAAAGATAGATGAATTTGACATGAAACTTACCTTTCCATAATCACGTAACCCAAATAGGCTCTTTTAACATGCTTCCATTGCCTAAATTTGTAATGTGAACAATCCCTCACACGTGTTACCAAAATCACAAATCTTGTTCATTGCCCGCTTCAAACATTCAAACCCAAAAGAGAGGTTTTATCGACTGCAAATTTGAGCTGTTGACATCATCTCGTTTTCGATTAAGACTTTGTAAATGACATTTTCTGTTTAAAAGTCTTTTCCCTAAACTTAGGATTTCTTTCGGTTATACACCTATGAGTTACACCGAGTCCGAAACCAAAGTGTGATTTTTTTGGACGCAAGGTATAAAAATAGGTAGAAAACAATAACATGTGACCATTTTATTTATAGCGTATGGATTGCATGCGCTATATCTTAACGGCACGTTTGTCTGTTAAGGTATAGCACATGCAATCCATGCGCTATACCTGATTTTCAAATGTCGGTCAAAGTACAACTATATCGCATATACTGGATGTGCTGTACGTGAAGTTGAAAAGACATATAGGTATAGCGCATCGCATATATGCGCTATACCTGTATTAAAAACTGGCCAGCCCTTCTCCTTCGCGACAGAACCTAAAAAACGGTCCCCTCCCCCCATTTTTAAAGGTTAAAGCTCCATTGGAGCCCATCCGTCCCCGAAAAATCGTGTCCCCTTGTTATTTTAGTGAAGTAACACCCGATCCAAGGCGTTGTCGTGTAGTGGATCTTTGTTATTGCTCGTTTCGGTGGTCAAATCTTCAATTTTTCTCAATTCAAAAAACTCTAAAAATAGGTATTCCGAATCACTTTTATAGTAAAACTCATGTATATAATTGACTAATTAGTTATTTTTACTGTGTTGTATGCTTTTTGTGATCGTTTTTTGATATATTTAATTTTTTGTTATTTATCCGGATTAGTTTATTTATGTGCAAAAAATTATGAAAATTGTATATTGTTGTTGTTGAATAATTAGTGTTATATGTGACTTTAGTGTTGTACATATAACAATATGTCACTTCACTATTGTTTAGTGCCCTTTAGTGTTATGTTGTGCCTTTTATTGTTATGGAGTGCCTTTTAGCCTAGTAAAACTGATAATAAATTTTAGTTTATGTTAGTTGATGTTGTTTATGGACATTTAGAGTAGTGTGACTTTAGTGCTCTTTAGGATTCTTTAGCCTAGAATAAAAACTACGTGCCCTCATTAAATAACCCGATTAGAGTACTCAATTATGGATCAAATGTTAATCAATTATTAAGTGTTTATTAAATGTATTACTAGATAACAATCAAATATTAGATATGAATCATAAAATAATTAGTTAAGAGTAAAAAAAAAAAAAAGAGATGCTGCTGGATTTTTGGGTAAAATATAAAAAGTTAACAAATAAATCGTTACGAATGAAATAAATTGAATATTATTTAGTATTAAGTTTGTAGTATTTTTATATGAATTATTATTAATATATATCTTGATTAATTATAAAAATTAAATATTTAATTTTCTTATAACCCAAAAATATCTGAAAAAAGATGACAGTTCAAACAAAACCCTGCCGAATTTTAGTCAAAATATGTAAGAAACTAACATATAAAATATTAATATAGAAAATTTATCAACCCAAGTATTTGTTATATGAATAATTATTAAATATATCTTGATTAGTTATGAAAATTAAATATTTAATTTTCTTATAACCTAAAAATATCTGGGAAAAAAATGACAGTTCAAACAAAACCCTTTTAGTCAAAAAATATAAGAAACTAACATATAAATTATTAATGTAGAAAATTTATCAACCTCAGTAATAATATAGAAAATTTATCGATTAAATATTAATATAAAATATCTCAATATATTTAAAGATGTTAAACGATTAAAGAAAAAAATACTTTAATTAATATTGTTCAATTTACAGATATCATCATGGAGCTTCCCCATGTGCATCATGGTCCTGCTGTTAGAGAGCTACTATTGCTCTAGGGTGGCCATATGTCTTTACACATCTAGGATGGACAGTTGATGTCCCAGACCTTTCACTCCAAACGTATAGACGATCTGTGGGAGTTCATTAGGGACCACTCACTTCATCCCCGTACAGTTAGACGCCTTGAGCGGACGGGATTTTACCGGATTATAGAGATCGGCCGGTTGCAGTTCGACTGGCTCTTGATCACGGCTATGATAGAGCGGTGGCGACCGGAGACGCACACATTTCATCTACCTATCGGCGAGACTACCATCACGCTAGAGGACGTGGAGGTTATATTCGGGTTGCCCATTGATGGTATGGCTGTCAGCTACCTGCAGGCTCTTAAGGACTATACGGGAGAGGACTATCTACATATGTTGTAGAGGCTCACCGGTTTTCAGCCTGCGGAGCCGATTGCTTGAGTGGTGCCAGTAGATTGCAGTTGTCGCCCATTAGGCAACATCTGCTGGCGTTGCACGTGGAGATTAACGATGACTCATCGGAAGAGGATATCGAGCGGCAGATGAGGCTGTTGCTGCTGATGATGTTTGGTGATATTCTATTCCCGAACACTTCGGAAAACCTAGTTAGCTTGCGATTTCTGCATCATCTGGAGCAACTAGATGAGTTACCTACTTACATTTGGGGTGGAACTGTTCTAGCCTACCTTTATAGGCAGATGTGCCGGTCGTCCATGGGCACCGTAAGAGACGTTGCCGGTTTTATTCCGCTGTTGTAGGTGATAACATTATCAATTTTTTTCATGATTATAAAAGAAATAGTACAAAATGACTTAAATTTTACGTCCACAATCAATATTAGGTTTGGGCCTAGGAGCAGTTCGTGCAGATCCAGCCACCTCTCCTACCGATAGCTCCAGATGCACCACCTCCACCATTTCTACCACTTGTTAGGAGGTGGGTAGATAGGTGAGGCCGCGCCCGCGAAGTCGAGGCTCGACATCATCTCCCTTATTACGGGGATCTGTTGGATTTACTTAAAGACGCTCAAGTACATATATGACTAAGTTTGTTTGATAATGCTTGATCTGTCTTGCGTTTGCTCACGATTCTTGAGTTTAATAAATAGTTCATATGGAGGCTATACAGCTACGAGCTCATCGCTGGATTGCCAGATTATTGCTCCCGTAGTCGAGCTATGTGAATGTCCTATTTATATGTCTCGATATAGTCGAGTAGCATGCCACTGAGCGAGTCCTTCGACAGTTTGGCCGACACCAGCTTATACCTATTCCGCCTAGTTAGCATTCCACACATTACGAGCGGGATGATCGCTGCAAGGTCAACCAGAAAAACTTGGCCTAGCTAGAGGCCAAGATAGAGGATTGGGATCAAAGATATGGCCTGATTTTGCCATACCCTCCACATGACCGTTTGGACGGGGAGCATGAGTACATGGGTTAGTATCGTCGTGTTACTCGCCTTCTGATCGGGAATCCCTTTCATTGCATTGGTGGTCGGTATGTTCCATACGCCGGGAGGCATGGGGCACTGGTATGTCATTTGATATACTTACTTATCATGTTATATTACTTTAACATCTTTCCTTAATTAATATTTTATATGCTTTGTAGACTATTGGCTTACACCAGTTCCACCAGTTAGGACTGAAGATGCTTCAACATGCAGGCGACGGAGTGGCAGTTATGCACGGATTTGGTCGTCGGGTTGCTGATCTTGCTGCTGACACATTGAGATATGCCTGAGAGGATGCACGGTTAGGTTACGAGGCTGCATATGTGCCACCTGAGGAGTACCATCATGGGCCACACGTGGCCCCATCACGTGGTAGACGTGGCAAGCATGGCATCTCAAACGCACGTTTACGCCCGAGAAATGCCTTTCTTTTGGTAATGGTACAACCATATACCTGGTGCACAGATGTTATATACTCTTTAATCTTGTACCTTATGGATGATTCAATGTGTGGAATCAAGACAAGAGAAATCAAGTCAACATTCAAGTTAAAATGATTCCCACTGAATGTGTCCATATCACAAGTGTGGGTACTAATATATTTTTCCACAATCCACATATTTGTTTTCAACTTTCTCGAATGCAACATCCATCTACAACCTTGAAACTATCTAGGAAAAATAACCTTATATACTTCCGGAGATGACTCATGAACCTCGATCTCACGACACTCTTTTATGCTGTACATTCGCACCGTCCTGCTAAAGTGCGTTTTATCAGCAAAAAGCATATTCTTTGATAGCACCGTTGGTCTAGATTCATCCCACATTGCTGTTCGAATGTCATCAAGATCCCTTGTGAGGGCATCCACATCCGACATACTGGGCAACTAATCAAGGTAGGGAATCACCCTTGAATGAAAGGGCACATGGGACTCGTACACTCTAGGTCTAATATGAGGTGAAGTCTATATATATGGAGCATGCTCATTGGTGGCATCATGCTCCCTCAGCAAATCAGGTTGCTCATGCTCATTCTCATCAGTAAAGCGCGTTTCCTCATCATCGTCTCCCTTATCAGGGAAGGGTGTATCATCTCGAGACTCGTCAATATTGTTGTCATAATCACTATCATCTTCCTGACTCTGTGCATCTGCCAGATCCTGATTAAGTATATCATTTCCGGGCAATGGAGTAAGGACAGGACCTTCAAGTTGCTCGTTTGCACTGCACAACCAATAAAATAATAAGTTTCTCAAATTCATCCCAACATTATATATGTTGATACCCAATTTTTCTCTTATATTTTTAAAATGTCATATATGCTTTTAAAATATCATTCCTACATGATCACAAATTTACAAGAGTCATACAAATATTTTCTACAATTCTCCATAATTTTTATAGCTTTAAAATTAATTTTCTTGCATTTAAATTATTTGAATATGTATTAATTACCCCTTTAAATTATTTTGAGATGACTTAATCATCCAAATTTATTATTTGCATCCATATATATGTTTCATAATATTTTACCTCATTTTCATATAATTATATTTGTATTTTTAAGCTATTTACACAATTTTACAATAATAGCTTATATGCTATGCATAATTATATTCTATTACATTATTTGTGCACAAATAGCATTTTTATATTTTTATAATGTCAAATTATTATTTTCAAGCATCTTACTACACAAATAATATTTTTATTATTTGTTAATTACTTCTTATAAATTAGTTTTATAATTTTTGTGTATTTAAAAACTTTAGCCCAATTTTTGAGTTAATTTTGGACCCAAAGCCTAGCCCAATAACCCCAAGCCCAAACCAGACAACCCTTTTAATGAACCCAGTCACGATTCATGTAAACGACCCGCCCCGTTCCCCTTTGATCCTGGCCGTTGATCTCAAATGATCAACGACCAATAATAAATCCCTACCTTTCCTTATATCCCCTCATCCAAACCTTAATCCCATTTCGCCACTCCAGCCGCCTCTAAATCCTCTCTATTCCATTCGTCTCTGAGAAGCCCTAGCCGCAACACCCTTCAATCCTCTCCGATTCTGACCTTAATATGGAATCCCTCTATGATTTTCCTTCCTTATATGTTCTGTCTCCGTGTTATTGACACGATTATGGTATCACTTAGAACATGCCTATTTTTCGCAAGTACAGGCCTTGAATCATGTAAAATCGTCTTCAATCTCCAAGATCTAGACGGTATTTCGTCTGTATACATTCATAGCAAGGTGATATGAGGCCGATTCACCAAAATCTGTGGTCATTTTTTTATTTCTATCGAACTAGGGTTTGTTTGGTTTATCTTTTAATCTGATTCAAAATTGATTTTTCTATGATAGTCTGTCCTTTAATATGTTGATTGACTGTTTTCCTTGTTCGTTCATTTGAATTTTACTACTATATAAACCCCTCCCCTAATTCCCTAGGAGAGGGCTCTATCACTGAAATTACTACTATTCTCTTATTCTTACTTGTCTTATACTACTCTGAGGCTTAATCTCTTGGCCGGCTGAAAGCCATGGCCACCAGAATTTGATTATCGGACCTTTCTCAGTGTGAGCACTGCCCGGGGTTCATTCGAAACCCTTGGGAACTTTGACGCACTGAGATTCCTGGGTTCTACTGTTCGTTTTTCTACTGACATTGGGGTATTACTGAAATTATTCCTCTTGTTTACTTGTTCATTAATCTGTAACTAGTAAGTACCTATGACCCTTATAATTTCAATCTCCTTTCGTTTGAGTTCCTGCTCTGCATATCTATGTCTCTGAGATTTTTTTTTCTATGGCCCAACATGCTATTATAGGCTCTATACCTTCTAGTAATCGAACTTGCCTATTTGTTGCCTTGATTCTGTTTTCTTAAGCTTGTTTGCCTTAATGTATGTGTTCGAATGCTTATCACTGTTGCCTATTCTGAGTTTAGCCTTTTCCTTGTTCTGTATTCTTGTGATAAGTCGAGTCATGCCCAGAACATGTTCTAATGCTTATTGAGTCATTCATATGCAACTTAATACTTTTCTAGAGTTAACTCCTGATTGTGTTATTAGCCCAGACATGCTTTCCCTGCTACTTGTAAACTAATGCATGTTCCCTGTCTTGTTTAATCTAGTGTTCTTTAATACTACCTAAGTATTCTAGGATGAAATTCAATATCTGGCCTTTTCTTCTATATGTGATTAAGCCTAGTGCATGCAAGTCCTGTTAACCTATATTTGACATATTCTTGTCCATTATGACTCTTGGTGCTATTTAAACCTTCATGTATGATTGATAATGTTAAAATTCCTCATCCCTAGTTGAGTGAATTGTTACAGGCCATGCTCATAAGCCTGTTTGTTATGATCATACTTGCACTAGACCCTCATGCTAGAAATTTCCATATGAAAACTGTTATTTTACTTGCTTATGTCTGTAATTCTGCAAGATTCCTCTATCGAGATTGTACTTAAATTGATCTTAGGTCATTTTATATCCTGAAACTCTACTTTGGATTGCTTGTTAGTTTGTGATGTTCCATCCTGTCTTTTGAACTTCCAACGTTTATGTATATACCTCCGTGTGATCTCGACTATCTGCTCTGGTTTAAACTACTATTAGTTACAGTCCTAAGAACTAAGTGTGTGGACTTCAAGTGGTCTGATCAATTTATGTACAATTTGTTACTCATATGGTTAAGTTTGGCATTGTTGGGTAAGTTAGCTCCCCCTTTAGACTTGGTGTGGGTCTGTGTTCGAATCATGCAGCTGATACACTCTAATGTCCTGGGGTGTACCTAGACCTGGGTTTGCTATTTTGTGTGAAGAATGAGATTACTGAAGACCTCAAAGTTGCTGGGTTATTCCTCTTGGGGCCTACTCTGCTTATTGGGCCTGTACTCACATTAGTTTGTAATATCTAAGCATGTATTCTCTATTTGGGCCTGTAATAATGTGTAATAACGAATAATGGGGAATTAATGAAAAAGGGGGTTGGGTATTCTAATATTTGCATAAAAGGGTAAAAAAAACATGCCTATAGGATATGTGTGTTATATTTGCTATTTTGTTCAGCATGCCTTGTTTGTTATTTCGTTTGGTATGTTGCACACTAATAGAGATCATGCCTATAGGAATCATGCACACCTCATTTATATACTGTTCAAGCATGTTAGTCTAAATATCTACCATACTCGTTTCTATGTTACTACTGTGCATATAGACAACATGCCTATAGAATGTATAACATATGCTTTGTTAACCTCGATACCATGCTTATAGGACTTCAAATAATCAATTGGTCAATTGCTTCTGTTACTTTTAGTGTACTGCTCATCCAGATATCATGACTATAGGATTCTAATCTTCTAATCAACTACTTCCGTTATTCTCATTACACTGCCCCGCCTAGATGACATGCCTATAAGAATAAAGTGTTATAAAAATCAAGTCTAATTGTCAATTGTTAGAAATCCTGCCTATAGAATGTTGTCACTCGTATAAGAGATGTTTATAAGATCAACGTCGTTAATGCTGGACTCTCAAAACTTCTTCACTGCCTAATTATGCAACTATTAGAAATCATGCCTATAGGACAATGTCACCTACCTAAGACGCCTATTTATAAAATCAGCGCTAATAATCCTGAGTTTGCAAACAACTTACTGTCTTTTTGTCTAAACCATTTAGAGAGAACAATAACGTTGCATATACGATGCTGGAATTCAGAACCACCTAGAAACCATGCCTAAATTACTTTAAGTCTTAATTCTAAAACTATTTACTGCCTAAACTGCCAGCGTGCATTTGTTGTTTATGTGTGGAGGCTAACTTGGGCCTTTAATTATCTTTATGTGAAGTCCTATCTGTTTTGAATGTCGCCTAGTTTTATCATTTTGAGCATTCTAGGTTGAGTTCTAGAACCACCTAATAGTAGGTCCAAAGCCTCCTGGACCATAGGCATAGGACGAGTAGTGCACGCGTAGGATATAGTTCAGAATTGAATTAGAGCGCCTTTAATTAACAACTTTAACATAGTAATTGGGTAGCAGGAGATGATAGTCTATGCCTACTGAATAATATGAGAAACCCCTATCTTAAGGGAGTTGCGAAGTCTTATTTATGTTGCACGGGGTAATCCTTTAGGCTAAAAATCTTAGAACCCCCTTTTCTTTATATACTTGTTATTCACACTTAGTCATTTAACATAGACCAGTACAATTGTACCCTTGTAATCTTTCAGATTTGTACCGATCACTTAGTCTTATGTGTTATAATAGATCCTTCA